CTACCAGAGCTCTTCCTAATCTGGAGCATAAACTAAGCTATTTGTTGGCAGAATTAGAAAGTTAACATAAATGATGGTTTAACACAAATCAAATTCTGACTTAATTTCCAAGGTAATTTCTTGACCAAATGATTAAATATTTATCTAAAATAATAAAGTTACAGAATAGCAAGAAAGTAAGCATAAGCCACCTTCTATAAAACTTAAAAAAAAAATTTCTCTTACTAAATAATCAAAGCATTCCTGAACCAAAGGAGACTGGAACATATTAAAGCACATTTAATAAAGAAGGAAAGCTAGTTAAAGAGAAGACAATAAGTAGGTATTAAAGACAAGTTTAATGAATCTAAACAGTAAACAAAAAGAAATTAAGATACAGCTGTTCAAACAGCTGTATATTGTTGTTACTGGACTCAGTAAACAAACACAGAACATTAAATAAAGCGAATGCTTTCTTCCACTGCTGTTCCCACTCTTCTAGCCTCTCATCCTTATGCAAAGTAAAACGCTCAAGATATTCAATGTAGCCAGCTGTCAGATCCAAACAGAACAGACCCCACAGCTGACAGATCTGGTCTCCATCATCACTAAAGTTACAGCCAAACAATTTGGCACAACTAAATTATGGCAATGAGCTTACTTATTTTTTGTCTTAAACACAAAGTACTCTGAAAGCTAAGAAAACAGATTACAAAAAAAAATTATATATTTTCTTTACTTCAATGTTTGGTTGGATAATACAATAAGAAAACTGGACATTTGGTATTACGGAACATTTCTAAGATTTGGGCAACCTTCCAGATGAAAAGGACAGCAGACAGTTATAAACTTGCATGTTGATAAATTCTCTTAAGAAGCACAAACAAGCTATGAGAAATCATAAGATCAAGTCTAAGTTGATAATCAGCTTGAAAATAAACCAGGCATTCCACACGCCAAGTTAGGAGGCGAAGAGGCCTAGGGAGCTAAAGGAATCTGTCCTGTGCAGATTACTTCCAGTCCTCTTCAAAGAGCTTCTGATTCTTTAGCACTGGAGGGAGGAGATAGTGTGACCCAACATCCAGAGGGGTCTCAAAATCTTTTCTCTTTAGTGTATTAGGCTCCAGGGCCCATCTCAGCCTGGACTTCAGTCACCCCTAGGGTTGCCTTGTGATCTTGTGTAGGATTACAGAAACGAACCAGGAAATTTCTATTTTTTGTATTAAAAGGTAGTGGTCTCTATTATGATGTTTGAAAGTCATTCTACCCTCAACCTACTCAACGCTAAGCAAGAGCAGAGGTAGCCCTGCTCCTGGAAGGCTGAAAGAGCTGTTGAAACGTGCCAGAGAGAGCTATGGACAAAGAGGGACAGCCACCATTCTGTGTTTAGTCTTTAGCCTACATACCACCTGACTATAGTATTTTGATCTGATTTACTACAAGATGTATAATTTACAACACTTTGGAAGAAATCTGGTGAAGATACAAAGGCTAAAATGACTCCTTTTCCAATACAGTGGAGACCCTGGGTGATGCAAATGGTTAACATGCTTGGCTGCTAACCATTAGGTTATAGGTTAGAAGTTCAAGTTCACCCAGAGGCACCTGAGAAGAAAGGCTGTACAATTTCTACAGAAAAACCCACCACTGAAAACCCTAGGGAGGACAGTTCTACTCTGACACTCATGAGGTTGCCATGTGTCAGAATCAACTGGATGGCAACTGGTTTTCCAATATGGTAGATTCTCCTTCTACTTTGCTGTTCCCATGGCACTGTATAAACATCTCAGATACAGCAACTATTATACTATATTGTAACAGATTAAAGTAATTTATGTTCATGGTATGAAGGATCCCAAATGGAAAGAAAATGTTCCTCCAAACCCAAAAGTTAGCCAAGGTTAATAGTTCCTTTACCTAGACTATGAGTTGCTTGAGGATAAGGTCTCTTTCTTTTTCATCTTTACACCTCTAACACCCAGGACGTTATCTGGCACACAGCAAGAACTCAGGAAATGTACATGAAAAATAACCACAGCTTAATGAAGTGTTAGGTTCTGTGCTAATAAAACACACTACATGGATTACCTAATTTAATCCTCAAACCAACCATTTTTGCCATTTTATAGGTGAATAAACTAAATGCAGCGAGGTTATAAAACTCATTCATGGTGACAAAATGAGCAGTTGGTGAAGCCACTATTCAAACCAAGGGCTTTCTGGCTCTAAATTGCATGCCCTAAACTACTACGATGGACAGCTGACAAGTTTCTAATACATTTGCATCATAGTTAGTTGTCGTTACTGTTACTTGTTAATCACCAAGTCAATTCCTACTCCCGGAGACCCCATGTGTGCAGAGAATTAATAAGGGTTTCAAGGCTATAACCTTTTGGAACCATGTAAACAGGCCTGACTTCCAAGGTGCCTCTGGCTGGGTTTGAACCTCCAATCTTTTGGCTAGCAGTTGAGGGCTTAACTGTTTGCACCATCCAGGGACTCCAGGTCATAGTTAATAAACAAAAATAAAGAAAATGATGAA